CATACATCTAGTCAGTACTTATATTGTCTTCCTCACTCCCCTAATTCTTGGCTAGAATTCCAAACAAAAGGCTTCAATGAAATTTATGTAACAGACCAGGAAAAAAGAAAGAAAAAACAACCAAATTCAGATATGTCTCAGACTAGTAACCAGTTGGTTTATTCTCTGTTTTACCCTTGCCTCTTCTTTCAGTCACTCCATGGTGAAGAAATCACAGCCCTGTTGTGTGCATTTCATGAAGGTATTAGCTCTCTGACCCAGATTATCTTCTGAAATGTGGCTTACTCACTCATATCCACCAGTGACCAGTGTCCTGTGTTTAACCAGCACAGCTTCTGCTTTTTTCCTACAGGAGGGATGACCCATAGAGCATTTCATGTAGTGTATACCTTATACTACCTGAGGATATAATTGAAAATTCTTGCTCCTCAAAGAGCTTACCCTAGAAGGAATCCCTAATGTGAATCCATAGTTCTTATGAATAATAAACGTTCAGTTTCATACAGACATTATACACAGAGCTGCTTGTATCCTATTATGGTTCCCAATCTAGTGGGCCAGTGGTAATCTAGTGGATTCTACTCCCCTTTCCTCCACCCTTGCCTTCTCTCTTCTTTCTCTATCATTGCCCTCTTTGCTTCTGGGACTATTGTAACAAGCAGAGTAAAAAGGATTTGTGTTCAAGTAGACTGTGTCACCATCTGAAGTCCCATTAGAGTTGTTTCAATTCTGCATGATCATGTGCAGAGTACCAAGTGTTTTGAGATATTACTGTTGGATGTAGACTGGTGTTTCCATGTTTAATTCCTTCCTTACCTCTCCTTTAAAAAAAAAAAAAATCCTTCCAGCATATGCTGAGGGAAAGTTGTTGCTCTAGCATTTGATACTTTAAAATCTAGTCCTAAGCAGAGTCCTAGTGAGAGTTGCTATGCCTGGACATCAGCGATCCTGTTCTCACCCTCCTGGCACCAGTTGTCTTTGGCAATGGGAAGGATGGCACTGTTGGTCTGTTGGGAATTTCTTCATAATTGCAGGTCAAAGGTCCTAAAGCATGGGCGTGTTTTGTTGGCTTAGGTCTGTGGGGTGAGGGCTATTGTTACTCAAACAAGGCTATTAACTTGCCCAAGTTCACTCTGCTCCACCTCTTCTCTCAGGGAATTAATTTCCCAATCTCTTAGAGACACCCCAGAGGCATCTCAGTTCAGGAGGAAGTTGACAGACAGTCACTCTCCAGAAAAGAACTGGAGTGCTGGCTCTCCTACTCTTCCCCTGTGTGACACTTGCTAAGTCACCTAGATTCTTGGATACTAAGGAAGCATGGTTGTTGTCATGAGATGATTAGAATGAGAGAAAGTCTATGTACCTTCTGTGCCTTATTGTGTCTGTAACCTACTGTGGGCTCATAGTTATTTTTTTTGTGTGTGTTTTTTTCCCCCTTCCAAAGATTTTATGACTTTGTCCCTAATGCTGCTATTTATTCACTTTGCTCTTTCCTGGATCCAAACTTTTAGACATGAAACATCCCCACGGTCTACTATAAGAAGTACTGGCTCATAAAACAAACAAAATATTAACAAGGCTCTGGAGGTTGCAGTTGCTGAAGCTGTGGAACCCTTACCAAACTGCTGTTTATTATTCATGAAACACAGCAGTTTGGTAAGCTTAGGTAGATAAAGTCCGAAGGCTCCAGCATGTTATGTTTACCCTCATAAGAAAGTAATCAAAGTAGCGTGTCCTCTTGTGGAGCATTAGAGTTGGCTTGCATTTCAGGATAAGCCTCATGCAGAGAGCTCATTTTGTCATTTATATTAACGATAAGTAGAAGAGAAAGAGAATGCTTTTTGAAGTTACTTTAGTTTTCCCATGGTTTACAAGGGGGCAGAGATTTGGAGAAAGGAAGCAAATATTTTGGCTAATGTGGTTAAACAGTCTTTTTTGTTGACAAGTTTAGATAATCAGGTGTTCTGCATTTTGCCACTTCCTTTCTTACTTTATAAAATACTCTTTTTCATGAGCTCAGCACAATATGCTGAATCCTCAAGGAAAGCCTGCAGACATTAAAAACTATTAGAGACAAAAAGATAAGAATCCTGGAAAGCCTCAGTCTGTTTATAGTATTTCTTTTTGGCTGGACTGTAACATTTTAACACTGGTCTTTCTGACAACTAGGAGCAGCAGAGTCACATGACTACTTAGGGCCCTGAGAGAAGATGACTACTGCCTCCTAAGCCCCTTATGTTGTGATTTGGTCTTTTAAAATGAGACCTCTGTGTTATAGCTGGAAGCATTATCATTTGAATTTGATGAGTGAGCTTGGGGTGTAGAAATCTTGAGAATGCTTGTACTGGGCATGCACCAAGGTAGACTGCAGGATTCTGTGGCATTAACATAGTGAACATTTTCTAGGAAGAACTTCTGAGAAAGGGGTTTTTGCTGATGAGTTGACATTGATGGGTGTAGCAAATGTGTGAGATCCATGCCCTGTTCATGGAAGCCTTTGTACTTGGCCTGCAAGACTAATATATGCAAGGAACAACCAGTAGAAAGTAGCCTACCACCGGGTTCATTTATGCACTCCTAAGTATTTACAAATAAGGCATGCTTGTAAGAACTGACATTTTCAAGGAAAGTAGCATTGCAGTTGGGGATTTAAAGGTGAAAAATGAAGTTGCTAGGTGAAGTCGTTAAGAGGTATGGAGGTAAAGCTGGCTGGTTTAGAACCAAAAGGATTTTCCAAGGAGAACTTTTTACATGGAAGCACTGAACAGTTTCTTCAATCTCTTGTTTTATATACAGTGAACTCTGGGAGATACAAGGCCAAGAGACTTTTTAAAAAGTCAACTGAAGCGGGCTCAATGGTGCATACCTGTAATCCTAGTGGCTCTGGAAGCTGAGGCAGGAGGATCACTAGTTCAAAGCTAGCCTCAGCAAAAGTGAGGCACCGAGCAACTCAGTGAGACCCTGTCTCTCTATAAAATATAAAATAGGGCTGGGGATGTGGCTCAGTGGTCCAGTACCCCTGAGTTTAATCCCTGGTCCACCATCCCCCCAAAAAAGTCAACTGAGGCACAGTAGAACTTTTAAGAGTTTGAGCAATCAATAATTCATGAGAAAATATTTGATGGGTTTTGGTTAGGCAGTTGCCATATAAGTTTGTTGGCTGCTCTTGATTGGTTGGACTTTAGGACTGTTTTTTTGGGTCTTGTTTATTTGTTTTGTTTTGTTTTAATGTAGGCATTTACAAGAAATAGTTCAAGTTTTGCTTATGTTTGCAAACTGAGGAAGGTTTTTGTCACTTAGGAAGGCTAACTGACTTTATTTGCTGATTCCTTGGGCCCACTCTCCTTTTTAATTTCATTAACATGGCAGATGGTATGAAGAAACGTATTGTGAAACCTCAATTATGAGAAGCCTTGAAAGGTATTGGGGAGCAAGACTGATCAAACTGTGTTACAGACATGTATGCCACAATGAAATTTACCACTCTATATAATTAGTATTCTTACACACACACACACACACACACACACACACACACACACACCAGTATGAGGGTATGAAATATAGCACTCAGATGCTAGAATGTCCTATGAAAGACAAAGTGCATGGTGAGTCTAGGTAGTGAACCCTGTGCTTAACTTGCAGTGTTGCCTGAGAATTCGGCATTGTTATCCTTGTTCTTGAAGAAATCATTCAGCATGTTTACATTTTTGATTTCTAAGTTGCTTCACTCCATCTCCCATCTTCAGTATATACATCTATGCTAACGACTTTGTTAATGCTAGGGAAAAAGCAGTTTTTATCCTTCCTGAGGCTATTTGAGTTTTTACTGGGTCAAAGATTCAAGACAAAGAGAGTTTCAGACTTCATCCACTTCAAGTTTTAGGACTGGCAGAGGATCCTTCCTTGTGTTCGTAGTACAAGGGTGTGTGAGTGCAACAGATTGGAAAAGGGAACCTGAAGTCTAAGGAGACAATGTTGTATGCCTGGCCTCGAATTTGAAATTCTCCTGCCTCAGCCTCCCAAGTAGTGGGGATTACAGGCAGGCATCATCATGCCCTGCCCAAAGGAGGGATTTTAAAGGAGTACTTTGTGACTGTGTGGTCCCAAGATATGAAAGGAGAGAGTTTTTTGTTTTGTTTTAAAGTTGCTTAAAGTTGCTGTTACTGAATCTACCTGTTTGAGAAACTATCCTGACAGAACTAAGAAACTGAGAATCCCGTTTTTGATTATAGGGACATTCAACTATCCCTTTTAAGTACATGCTTGGAAACCATTTTTCTTCCTAAGGCCTTCTGTTCAACTTTTCTTCCTATTTCTCTGTCTGTGGCAATGAGAGGAAAAGTGAGTCTCTGTGAATTATGTGCTCAGATTTCTTACAAAAGGACCCAAAGAATTCCTGTCTTTCCTTACTCTACCCTTACCTCCACTGAAATTTGCCATTTCAAAAAAATTTTTTAAGAAAATATTTACTTGAAAAATATACATATAAGCCTTTATTTGGAAAGCCAAGCTTCCAACAAACTCACATTTTGCACAGAACCTGCTCCTTCGTTATGCTGAGATAACAGGCTGACTTTGCCTCCCGAAGGCATTCTTCCTTGACAGACTGGTTTGCTCTGATCTGTATAAACACTACTGCCTGCTGACTAGTAGTCTGTATTTATGAGGCCCTTGGAAAACACTGTGAGCTGCAGAGAGTGACCGTGAATAGCAAACTTAATTTGGCTTAATGTGTTTTGGCTTGCTTGACCTCACCAGAATAAAAATGTGCCTGCTTAAATTATTGCATTGGAAGTTTAAAAAAAGAAGTCTAGAGACACTCATCTCATTGGAAGAATCTTGGGATCATTTTAGCAAAGGTTTAAGTCCATGTTTAATGTCAGATGACTTGAGAAATGTTTAACATAGAGCTTTAATCGCAGATTAGGTTATTGTGGTTTCTGAATTTTAAGTCTGAATTACTATTTTTTTCTTTTGCCACTTTTTTTTTTTTCTAGACAATTGGCTGGCAACGACCTTTCTTTTATCCACCCAAAGGCCTTGTCTGGGTTGAAAGAACTCAAAGTTCTGTAAGTAATGCAATTTTAGAGTTTCACAGCTGGCTGTGTATTTTCTTTCTGCATAGTCAACATGCTTGGAGCTAGGTTAAGCACAGTTTCTTTTAGTTCAGGATTAAAAGATTTAAGTGTGGCCAATGGTTAGTATGGGAGGCTAGAGATTGATTTAGGCAAGTTTGAGTCTAGATAAGGAGAAAGTTAAAACTCCAAACAATAGGTATTCTGACCTCTAGTATATTACAGTTGAATATTTGACTTTTTGTGCTGCTGATGTATTGAATCAAAATTTATGGGTAGGCTTCATTTCTACTTACTTTATAGCTACAAGATTTCTGAATTAGCCAACCTTAAAGGGAAAGGGATTTATAAGAATTTCAAATGTTAAAATCATTTTAGAGCTGAAGGAGTTGAGATACCCATGATTTATTGAGCCAGGAAGGGGATTAGGAAATAAATTCCTTACAGTGGTCAGGAGCTTGGAGTATGGCAGATTGAGAAACAGGTGAACTGACTACCCCCACTTCTCCCATTTTCCCTACAACCTTACTGGTCAAGGTCACCAGGCCCCTGGTCCTGTGAGCTAGGAGGGTCCTTTCTCTCTTCTCTTCTGTGGTTGTGATTCATGTCAGGCAGTCATTTTATTCATGTGACAGGAATGGTTTTAGGCAAAAATTAAAAAGGATTTTGTTTTCAGTATGGATAAATGCCTCTGATCTCCAGGCCCTGATTAAGGCTCTATTTCTGCCCGACCCCTATGGCACTGATAACATCTTTGGTAGTCCCTACATCAGGTTTTGCTCCTGTCCTGGCAAAATTGGCTTTTCCTAATGCTCATGTTTCTGGGCTCTGCTTTATTCCAGTTTGAAAGGCATTAGGGATACCATTGGGTTTGCTTATTACACCTCCCAATTAACTTGTTATACCTCCCAATTAACATTAACCATACCTAGGATGATGAACATTAACTAGGGTGCCTTTATTATCAGAAAGGAAAAAAAAAAATCTCTGGAAATGTGGATTACCCTGCAAGGACTGTGTTAGGTAGGAGGTGGCTTGGGAAAGCAGCATTAAGTTTCATTTCTGGCTTTACAACAAATGCTTCTTGAAATTTTGCACTTCTCTTATACTGGGTGCTTTCTACCTCCACCCTGCTCCATTTGGTGCCGTTGGAAATATTTTTGAGAAAAAAATGGCTCCAATTTTTCTCATTCTAACTAAAAATTTTCTTCCAGAACTCTCCAGAATAACCAGTTGAAAACAGTACCTAGTGAAGCCATTCGAGGACTGAGTGCTTTGCAGTCTTTGTAAGTAATATTTTGGTTTTCTGCATTCCTGAATTATTAGGAAACCACTCTGGTTGTTAAATGTGTGAAGAACTGGAATCCCAAGGAAAGGGGAGATTTATCCTCTCCTCTGGGATAAAAATGGGTATGACCAGTTGCTGTTATGATGTTTTTATAACATCCTTGGTGAGGGAAAAGGAGGTGGTGTGGTTTACCTCCTTTCTTCTCACAGAGACTGAGAGAAAGCTGCTGGGTTTCCTTCCATGAACTGTGTGCATGGCTAGTGGTTGCATCTCTTTGGAACCAGAATTAAGTGTGTCTAGTGTTTTGTATCCTGATAGTCACAGTGACATTTCTGTCCCAGGTGGTAATGATCATCAGAACAAATTAATCATAGTTCTTTCCTGTGAACATACCAAATCCATGTTGATGTCACTTAATTGCCTGAGCTGCCTCCTTTCCAGGTTTTTCTTTTTTGAAAAAAAAAAAAAAAAAAGTTCAGTGTTTATGTGGCATGTTCTAGGTTTTAAGTCTTGTTTTTCCTTGTACAGGTACAAATTTTAAAAGCGTTTTCAAATAGCACTTTGTTATTTTTTTTTCATTCTTTATACATAAAACATTTATTTTTTTATATAAATTGTAAGTGTTTTTCTTGCATGACCAGTAATGAGCAAATGACTATAGGGAGAACTTTAAATAACTTGTCCAGCATCACATAGCTTTTAGGGATGGAGTAGGGGTTCAAAACCAGATAAACCTGTTTCAGAATTCTAATTAATATGAACTTTTGAGATATTCTAGTAGCTAATGGGAGGTGAATATGAAAATAAAAATATGTACTAATAAAATATATGTTGTAAAAGTTAAACTTTAAATAGTATCTGTCATAAACAAGGAATATCCAGGGTATTGGCCATGTAATTTCTAGTTGAAATAGACGTTTAAGATAGAGTATATTAAGTAGTTCACTTTACAAAAAAAGGCAAGAGGGTAAGTTCCAAATGGACTCTTAAAGTGAGTTTCTTTACAGAATAATTATTTTGCTGAGTCTATGCTCTCTTTTACCTCAGGCAGATATACAGAGAGGGAGCTATCTGATCTCCCACAGACCTGAATTTAAGCATTTTAAATAGTTTTTGTTTTCCTTTGCTTTTAAAAATTCATTGGGGGTTGGAGTACTGGGGTTTGAACTCAGGGTCACCCAACCACTGAACCACATCCCCAGCTACCCGCCCCCCCATCCCCCACACTTTTTTTTTTTTTGTATTTTATTTATAGAGGAGCCTCGCCATTGCTGAGACTGGCTTTGAATGTGTGATCCTCCTGCCTCAGCCTCCCAGGCTGCTGGGTTTATGGCGCGTGCCACTGTGCCTGGCTCCTTAAATTCATTTTATTTGAAAACTTTGCATGGAATTATAATTTCCCAGTACTTAATGATCCAATTCACAATATTTGATCTAATTTGAAAGCAAAAATAGAACTAAAATCTCATTTTCCATTTTGGAACAGAAAAATTACCAAAACAAAACCAAAAAAATCCCACTGAAACTGAAAACATACAAATAGATTCTAATTAATGACCAATAAGTATATTAAAATGTATGTGACATTTATTAATAATATAGATGACTTAAAGTGTTATTTTTCCACAGAAAACATAGGTTTCCCCATTTAAAACAACATTTTAAAACAGCATAATGTGTTCATCATTTATTGAGTGGCTTGCTTAGTTTAAATTATCTCCTTTCCAGCCAATGGTACATGCCTGTAATCCCAGTGCCTCAGGAGGCTGAGGCAGGACAATCAAAGTTCAAGGCCAACTTTAGCAATTTAGCAAGGTCCTAAGCAACTTAGTAACACCTGTCTCAAAATAAAAAAATAAAAAGGACTGGGGATGTAGCTCAGAGGTAACTTGCCCTCTAGATTAAATCTCTAGTACCCCAAAATAAAATAATCTCCAAAATTGCAATGGGGGTAAGGAGTGAACTCAAAACAAACTTTTTGTTATTAAAGGCACCAGTCTGTTTTCATGTGTGGTAGAAACTGAAGGAGCTACTGCTATATGTCAGTACTGTTTTATATAAGAAGGAAGTGTTCGTGGATTTGTTAGCATAGTGGTCACAGTGGTCAAGTTAGATATAATTGAAATTCTGTTGTGGTGTAAAACCATCTTATCAGCACTTGAGTCAGTTTGAAAATCTGATCTTCAGACCTGAATTACATGAAAGATTTCCTTGTGGTTTTGAATAGTGCTTAAAAAGAACAAAGTTCATTAGGGGTTGAAATTGAACAGAAGTGGTTTGATACAAACTATGTGCTTGTGATTTCTATAAAATCTGATAGTGAATTGTTGGTATTAATAAAAAGATAGCATAACAGCTATACTAAAGCCACATAGCTGTAGAATTACCTGAACAGGATATTAAAATGACATATCAGAATTAGTTCCACCAGTTTTTCTTTATATTAGATCACATTTATATTGAATATTAAAGCATCTCAAAGATTAAATTTCTTGGATTTTCCTTAATAATTTTAAAGTGTTTTAAACTATATTTAAATTATTGTTAAATTAGAAGTAGAGAGAAAAAGAAACCTTTGATTACACAGTATTTATTGATAACATAGCCTTTCAACCTAAATATATGTATATAGGATTTTTTTACCGTAATTTCATCTGAGACAAGATTTTTTTATGATTTTTTTAGTTGTTGATAGACCTTTATTTATTTATACATGGTACTGAGAATTGAACCCAATGTCTCACATATGCCAGGCAAGTGTGCTACCACTGAGCCATAGCCACAGCCCGAGACAAGATTTTTTTTTAAAATGTTTGTTTGAAATGTAAAATAGGCTTTTGAGAATAGGAAATAGGAACACATTTTCCAGATAAAAATAAGTCAGGGTTAATATGATGTCATCCTTCTCATAATAAAATTGTACTTAAAAGCAATAGTTGTCTCTTACTGTATAGAGTGTGAGTAGTAGAATACACTAAAGAAGCTCCTGTAATATCTCCAGTTTATGAGATATAATTCTATTTAGCACCTTCTAAAGGAATTGATTATAATATTATTTTGGTCTGTTAGGATGAATATTAATAGTGCAGATCATTGGTACCAAGCCAGGATTCCAAGACAGTTTTTCTCTGAAGCATTGATCTCAGTGTAAACATGGGTTCTTAACATTTATGGGTGTGTCTCCAATGCCCACATGTGAATTGAAGTGCATGTTTTAACCTTTTGAATCATCTCCACAAATCCTTTTTCTTATTTAAAATTTTCCATCATTTTTTATTTTAACTTATGTGCAAGTTTACAGTTTGGGAAAAATTTTGATACAGGGGAAACTGTGTCTTTTTTCTTACTGTTGTGTTATTATTTTATATAGAAAATAGTGTCATCTCAGCTGAATGTGGTGGTACACACCTGTAATCCCAACCACTCTGGAGGCTGAGGCAGGAGGATCTTGGGTTCAAAGCCAGCCTCGGCAATTTAGTGAGGCCCTAACCAATTTAGTGGGACCCTGTCTCTAAATAAAATAGAAATAGGGGTGGGGATGTGGCTCAGGGGGCAAGTGCCCCTGAGTTCAATCCCCAGTAACCTCCTCCCCCCACCAAAAATAGTGTCATCTCTATCTTAGCTCAAAATTCACTTCATTATCTTACTGTAAGTTAAAGCTATCCCTTTTCTTTGATAGTATGGCACAGAATTCACAGGAAGCATAATGTATGTAGTACTGGATTTATGTTAGAAAGGTATGGACAACTTTCTTTATTAGAGTGTTTTACCATATCTTAATGAAACACTTTTCTAGAAAAGACTTAATTTCTTGGACTTTAATGTATGTATTCTGGGGTACTTTGCTTGTTGTTTTACTGATAGGACTATATATGTATGTGTGTGTGTGTGTGTGTGTGTGTGTTGTGTGTGTATGTATGTATGTATATATATATAATCATCAGTATGATTAAAATAAGCAATTTAAATTTTTAAACTGCTATAACACTAAAAAATTGTAATTAAAAGACAGTCCAATCCCATTGCCTGACCTATAGGGACCTGCATAATCTGGAACCTACTTGTGTCCCCAGCACTGTTCCACAGGCCCTCTACTCCCTTGTTCCTGCCTCTAATCTCTCTGACCTGGGAGTTACTGGATGTCACCAAGCTGGTTTCTGCCTTTGCCTTTTACCTAATATTCTCCATGCCAGTTCCTGCTTCCACTTGTTTTTGTGTTTTTTAGGTCTCTTAAAGTTGCTTTTCCTGACAAAGTACTTTTATTTTATTTTTTTAAGTTGTAGGTGAACCAAGTGTCTCACATGTGCTAGGCAAGTACTCTGCCACTGAGCCACAACCCTAGCCTGACAAAGTACATTTTAAGTAGCTTCTCTCCTCATTAGCATCCACCCATCTTTATCTCTGTTCCCTGTTTATTTCATGGCACTTTGTAAACACTCCTTGTTGGTCTCATGGGGACAGGCCTCTGACCTATGTGTTCACCATTTTATCCTTTGTGTCTAACAAGATGCTCAATTTAAATATGTTGAGTTGCAGATAATCAAATTAGCTACAAGTATAATTTAGTTACATTATATGATTAATTTGTGTGATTATATGTTTAGTGTCTCTTCTTAAGAATGGAAGCTGCCAGGAGGTTGCAAATTACATCAGTGTGTTTGAACACATTCCTATCTATTCATTAAAGCATATCTCCTAAACAACTCTGTAACCATTACTTTGCCAGTTTGTTATATAGAGGATACGGGTTCCTTTTCAGGGCTAAGTTCTAGAAAGCCCAAGGAATATACCAGTCTAAAAATCTTTGTTGCTAGACAGATTCTTAAGGCAGCTACTCAGTTTCCTATGCCACCCCCCCACCCCTCTAGTGTTCTTTAGTTCTCTTGACTCTATCAGAAGGAAAGTGTCTTTCAGATACTCACCAGGACCAGTGATTACTAATTCCTGCTACTTCCTACCTCTGGGAGAGAGAATGAATCTGGGGTTTAGGGCAGTAGTAGGATGCAGGATCCCAGAACTGGCCACAGGAAAAAGGGACAATTATGGCAGGAACAGAAGTTGGAGTAGGATGACAATAGGAGACACAAAAATCCTCTCTAAAACTTGGAATTTACAATTTCAGTTGCCAGCCTCCATCTTTTTAGAAATATACTATCAGTTTGAGTTTTCATCAGTTTTTTCTGTTCCCTAATTTTGACAGAAAAATCCAAAGCTGTGAAGCATGAATGTAAGTGATGAACATCAACAAGGGATTTGTGAGAAAAGTTGTGATCTGCCTGGCACAGACTGCCCCTCATCATATTAATATTAATACCAGGTTGTTTTTGTGTTGAAAAGTGATTATTCCACCAATTATAGCTGGTTGTGCCAACAACACCACTTAGGACCTACTTTCCAGAAATTTGCAGATGGGGACTTAATTTTAAGTATGAGTAATCCTATTAGTAAGGTGTTCCTTAATTCCAAAATTTTTGGAAAAACTGGAGTTTTAAAGTCATCGTAACATAAATTGGAGGAGCTGCTTAATTTTTTCCTGTGGACAATTTGACCTTTTTTAAAGTAACTGTTAATTTTGGCAAACTAATTTTTCAAAAGGATTTAGTGCTAAGAGAAGAAGAGAAGTTGCTTTGCTAAAATGTGACACATTTTTAACTTGTCTGGTGGTAATAAGTAAGGGTAATTGAGAATCTGTTGAGGTGGTTTATTGCTATTTAAAAAATTATAAATATTTTCTAATTTTTCCCCTTTGATCCCAAATCAGAGTAGCAACTAAAGTTTATAATATTATTTACAATGTAACATTGAATGTAAAGTAACTTATTTGCTGGCTTAGTTTTTATTCTTGGTTTCCTGTATCTTGATATTGTATACTCTGAAATTCAAGTTCCAACTTGAGCTTGTGAGAGTTTTCTTTCTTTCTTTTTCAAAGTGTATCTTTCTCTTAAAAAGTGGCTTCTTAGCCAAAGAGAGTTGAAACATTTCCATTTGGATACATCACTCTCTCACCAAGAAAGGGAAAGAACTGACTTTTATACATGGTCTTGGAAAAGGTATCAGATTCTATTGCGGTCTTCTAGTGACAGTGAAGAAGTAAGGGATTTTATGTCTTCGGTCATTTTGATTACTCCTTTTCATTTTGAAAGCTCTGAGAATTGTCTGAATCAGATCAACTCCATTTCACTAGAATTTGTTACTGAACATGGTGGTTGTTTGTTTCTATCAGGCGTTTAGATGCCAACCATATTACCTCAGTCCCCGAAGACAGTTTTGAAGGACTTGTTCAGTTACGGCATCTGTGGCTAGATGACAACAGCTTGACAGAAGTACCTGTGCGTCCCCTCAGCAACCTGCCCACCCTGCAGGCGCTGACCTTGGCCCTCAACAGAATCTCGAGCATCCCTGACTTTGCCTTTACCAACCTGTCAAGCTTGGTGGTTCTGTAAGTGTTCATTTTTTTTTTTTCTTTTGTAGTTGTAAATGGACATAATGCTTTTATTTTATTTGTTTATTTTCATGTGATGCTAAGAATTGAACCCAGTGCCTCACACATGCTGGGCAAATGCTCTGCCACTGAGCTGTAGCCCCAGCCCTGTTTCATTCCTTTTAATACCATATGTTTTGTTAATTTCAAACAAGTTCCTTGTGAAAAGTTATTATGAAAGTACTCATGGATTCTGCTTCTGAATAGTCAGTGTTTGGACCAGCTGTTGTTTTGTTAAAAGGTGATGACTTTCTGAAATATAAAATAGGAGAATTCAGAGTATTAATATCTGGTAATGGCTATTGAATATTCCTGATAGAAATGGTCCTTTGTAATCATGAGAGAAAAAATTAGGTCACTTAGCAAACACTCATACAGCTTCTGTTTGTGCTCCGCAAAGTGAATTTATTCATTCTTCTTAAAAGAAGTGAAATCATTATGTGATGTTCACAGAAATAAGTTCCAAGGTTATTTATTTCATATTTCCCAGCTTTTATATTCATAGAGTATGTGATTTTCTGTGTTTCTAATCTTTGAATACTCAGATATAATAAAGTGGCATTTAAAAAAAATCTGTTTACAGACCTCACTGATATAAACTTATATGCTTCTTCCATATCATCAAAATTTGCTTCCTGCAAATTGAGCTAATCAAGACTGTTATTTTGATGTTAATATTAAATAATATTTAGTATGTGTATCATTTTTCCATTAGAGACATTTTCCTTTTCTATTGGTGTTCTGTGTTCAGTGAATACATGCAATGTAGATAAAAAGATACATAACCAATATGTTTTCCATAGACAAGTGTTGAAATATTTAGCTATATGATTCCTTTAAGTCATCCCAATTTAGACTTATGAAACAGTTATAATAGTTGCTACTGGGAGATGTGAAAGTCATTTTGATGCTTTTTTTTTCCTATAGGCATCTTCATAACAATAAAATTAAAAGCTTGAGTCAACACTGTTTTGATGGACTAGATAACCTGGAGACTTTGTAAGTATATTCGCATATTGGGGAGTCACACTGTGATATCAACAGTGCAATTTTATGTTTCACTACAGAAAAACGATGCTGTTCTTGAGTCAATCCATTATCAATTTGTTTTAATACATGACTAAATTCTTGCCATCAAGTAACCTGGTTATGAATCTACATTTATGATTAGAAGTATAATTACATGTGTACTTCATGCCTCTATTCCCAAAATATGTATTAAAAGCAGCTCGATATGGAGAGATTTCTATCTTTCCAAAAATGTTGATTTTGTTAAATTTATTATGGTTTTGGAACTCTGAGGCTTCTAAAATGAATTCTAGATAGTTTTGTTGTTGTTTTTCCCCATAATCTCAGTTGCCTTCCTAGTTGTTTACAGTGGATTTGAATATTGCATCTGCTTTCACATACTACAGTGTAACAAGTTAAGGTTTTGTATTTTGCATACCATATTCTTGTTGTTTCCACTAGCTGTCTAGTGTTCAGGACTGTGGCTGTTTTAGCTGTGCATCATACCACTACTTATCTAACAGACGTTGTGCTGCTATGTGTAATTGAGAGTAGAATGTTTATTTTTGTATATATGAGTACATTTATTTCCTATTCACAGATAACATAATATTTGCCACTGTGATGTAGTAAATTGATTCAGGAAATATCTCAATTGGATGGGCGAGTGAAGCCTGATTGAAATGTTTAGGTTTGTAGTGTTTTGTTTAACCAGAATTTCTGGTTAAGTGTCAGTGGCTGAGAAGACTTCAGATCTTATAGGATCCTATTAATCTACCTTATTCTCTAAACATTGAAAAGATAAGACATCAATGGATATTTTAAAGTTCAGCATTCTCAAGAAGATAGATCCAAATTCAAGCCTCCTTTGCTAAGTGTAATTTTTGGTGTGACAGATAAAAGCTTGAAAGGATAATGTGTAGACCATGTGTGCTATTCAAATTATATTAAAATTAAATCTCTTCTTCCCAGTTAGTTTAATTTTTACTTGCTATTTTCCTTCTGTGAAGGAAAACAAAATAGTTCTCCAAGGAACTGGGCTTTGAATTTTATTTTGCTCTCATCCTGCAATCAACCATGTGAGTCATGCCTGCCTGCTCTTTATGTTAAGAGAAATTGAAATGTAAACATGCTAAGGAGTAGACCTTTTATTATAGACTACTATGGTGTATCTTGCTACTAATTAATATAACATTTTAAAATAATTTATAACCTGCGTAAGGATAATAATAATGTGAATCAATGTACCCTGGTCCTTCTGGCTATTCTTCTCTTAAGTCCTCGTTTTGACAATGGGGCTGAAATCAGCTCCCAGAAACCGGAATTTCAGGAAGCCCCTCAACTCCAAATGGAAGCCTCACTTCCATGCTCCTATCTTTCATCTACAAATGGATACTTTGTAAATTCTATTGTATAGTGAATTTTCTGAAAAGTACCATTTGTATGATTTGCTTTTTAATCCTCCAGTGTTACATGATTCTAAGAATTCTTCTTATAAACATCATAGAAGAAGCATTTGTTTTTTTTCTAGTTAAAAGTTTACATTAAGGTGTAGACGTAGTTAAGGTTCTATGGGGTTTCGAATGATAATATGGTTGGTGAAGAAATATTATTAATCGGAGGTTGTGATCTTTTATACACACACACACACACACACACACATTTTTAGTTGTTGACAGACCTTTATTTTATTTATTTATATGCAGTGCTAAGAATCAGACCCAGTGCCTTACACATGCCAGGCAAGTGCTATACTGCTGAGCCACAACCCCAGCCCCAGAGGTTGTGATTTTTTTTTTTTTAACGTAGATTTGTGCCAAACTTTCTTATAAATTGTGACCATTGTTCATTATTTTCATTATTGCTACGTATTTTCTACCTTTTTTTTTTTTTTTTTTAGGGACTTGAATTATAATAACTTGGAGGAATTTCCCCAGGCTATTAAAGCACTTCCTAGCCTAAAAGAACTGTGAGTATTGCTTTGTTTATTTTATGTCTTAATATCTCTAGAACTTGCCGTTTAATATTCTAACAATGAGATTTTAGAATGTCTTTGTCTTATTACATATATTCGTAACACACATCCAAGCACATGCATACTCATACAGATCAGATTATGTTGGCTGGTATAACTGTTTTGAGCAGATTGCTATATCAGTTTAGATTCTGTTGCTGAAACAAAACAGTATGATCTCTGCCTTTTCGGAAGCTTGAAGTCTTAGTCTCATTAGGAAGGCAGACCATGGAAGACAGACAGATATCTGTTTCTAGGTAGAAATGAGTATTGAATGAGTAGGATAAATAAGTCATTCTAGAAAAAGACCTCAGTGAGGCTTGGGGTCATTGGAAAAGGCATCACTAAAGCAAAGAAATTTGACCAGACTTGAAATAATGAAAATATTTAAACAAATGAAAGGCATAAAGGAGAATTTTGGATGTTGGGCTTGTCATGAGCAGAAATAGAAATAATGTATATAGATATCATAATAGAGATTGTGTGTCATGAGTTGATAGCTAATAGCCTAACATGCATTGCCTAAAGACATATTGATATTGCAGGCTATAATAAGAAAGATTTGGGGACTAGAATGTCTTATGATTCTTATAGCATGATGTTCTTTAATGATGAAAAAATATAAAAATGTATATGAGGGACCGGATAGATTTTAGGCAAGCAGGGGGTTTAAGAGGAATTAGGTAATAGATGAGGTGGAATTAATTCAGATTTCCCACATTTTTGAAAATGTTTAAGTAGTTGTTATCAGTAGTATTTTATGTAATGCTGAGCAGCAGTAGATACTCAAGTTTTAACTTACTTCACAGGAGATACGGATTTCAAATGTTTTTCTCTTATCTTTTTAGGGGATTTCATAGTAACTCTATTTCTGTTATCCCTGATGGAGCATTTGGTGGTAATCCACTCTTAAGAACTATGTAAGTATTTTTGAAAGTTTCTTTTAGAATAAAATCATGTGAAGCTTTGTCTGTACCTCATCAAACATCTAGATGAAGAATGAAAATTCAGGCTTTTAGATACACATACATTGTGAACATAGATTTAGTATTAGAATGCTGGTGAACATATGAAAACTTGACTTTTCTGGGATTTTGTTACAGACACTTGTATGATAATCCTCTGTCTTTTGTGGGGAACTCAGCATTTCACAATCTATCTGATCTGCATTCCTTGTAAGTATTATGCAAGTTTAAAACATACCTGAATATTTGTACAGTTCTTTTAATGGAAAAAATACTTTATTATTGTAGCTTCAAAAAAGAAAATCTTTTGTTTTTTCCCCTCTTGGGCAGAAGTCCAAAGAATGACTTTGAAAATTTATAGTGCTTCTTATTGATGTGAACGCTTGACCAAATTATCATACTTTCAAGTTACATAAAGAGATGAAAGTAACTTGTTTTTAGTTAGTACTTTAATTTTAAACTCTTTAAAAAGATATAATGAAAATATTGTGATGAAAACTATTTTATTTTGAATTACTTTCTCCCCTCCCGATTTCTCAGAGTCATTCGTGGTGCAAGCAAGGTGCAGTGGTTCCCCAATCTGACTGGAACTGTCCATCTGGAGAGTCTGTAAGTTTGGTTCTTTGAAGAGGGGTTTGTGCCAAGATAATACTGCAAGGTGGCTAGCAGAGTGCCATTGCTTTTTAGTGACCATGATGGGTTTGTGCTCATTCTCCAAATTCCCTTTGTGACTATCATGCACAGAGATGGATGTTTTGGGTTTGGGGTCAGTCAGCTCAGACAGAATTCAGCTCTAGGACATATAGCATGGCCTGTCAGATTCCATTCATCTCAGCACCATTTCACCCCTGACCTGCAATAGTAGCAACAGAAATGAAGAGAAAAGATCAGATGTTAGAACATTACAGAAGAAGAAATAACAGGAACTGGTGATTGCAAATGGGAGCATTTAAAGGAAGGAGAATAAGAGAATAAGCCTACTATGTGGACAGAAGATCTGAAAGTCTCACTGAATATATAAGACAGTTATAAGGTGCCAAAGTAGAAGCAGTGCTTTAGAAATTCATAAATGGGATCAATTGTTGTACACCATCCAAGAAGGTTTCATGGGGGAGGTAAAGTGTTTGAAAATTAAATATGTCAGATTTCTCAGAGCTGGGTCTTTTATTTCGAAAGACAGAATTCAGTAAAACTGGGAGTACCAAGGATATTTTCAGGAATGGCACGCAGATGATCAAACATGGCTAAGAATTACATGTTTATAATGTGATGAAGTATGTTATAGAGAGATTTGGAAAATTGTTTTGGATCGGATTTTTACATGACAGACCTTGAACACTGAACATTTGTTTATGGCAGAGTTTCCCTGTGAGTGTCTGTGAATGTAAGGTTACAAGGTCATCTAAATCTTGGTCTCAGCCCTTCAGATGAGTGGTGGGGTTGGGGTGGGGCAGCTGAAGTAGCTAGGCTCTCTAACTATGAGTGTCTTACCATGGTTGCCATATGAACATTATGATTTTCACATGTGCCCAGACAAAAAATAAAAATAAAAGAAAGTTGGGTAGCCCTGAGATAAGGAGTTTTAACTTGACCCATAATGCAGTTTGCTGGTATTGAGAAGGTTTGAGCAGGTGGTTTGAGCAGGGCAAGGAGAAAAGACTAGAGATAGAACAGTTCTTTTAATGGGAAAAAAAAGAAAGAATTTATTATTGTAGCTTCAAAAAAGAAAATCTTTTATTTTTTCCCCTCTTGGGCAGAAGTCCAAAAAATGACTCTGAAAATTTATAGTGCTTCTTATTGATGTGAACATTTGACCAAATTATCGTACTTTCAAGTAACACAAAGAGATACACATGTGCAACCGTGAGACTCCAGGTCTTCAGTCACTGGAGTTGCCCCAGGATATATAGTATGGTTTATCAGATTCCTTCATCCCTCTCAGCAATATTTCACCATTGATCTACATAGTAGCAGTAAAAATGGAGAGAAAAGGTCAGATTCTAGAACACTACCAAGAATCAACAGGAACTGTTGATTGCAAAAGGTAGCATAGAAAGGGAGGAAAGTAAGAGACTACTTCAGAATGCTGAGCCAGGTTGACTCAATAGAAACAACATTTGGGGTAGGATATTAAGTTGATTTTAAATGTGTTGGTTATGAGAAGGTGACAAAGCTTACAGGTGATTGAGGCCAGGCTGTGACTGTGAGTTCAAGTTTTTCTCTTGGTCTATCTGGGAAATCAAGCCCATCATCTGGACAATATTAACATCATGTGTCACAAGCTTTTTTTTTTTTTTTTAATTTTTTTGTGAAGATGATGTCAGTATTGAGGGTTAATTCACCTTCCCACCTGCCTAATTTGAAGAGGTAATTAATTAGGCAGTGGAATGCAAAGACTCTATCCATATGTGAATATGTAGGTATTTATTTTGCTTATTATCCTGACTTGGATTATTTCTTAGATGAATAATGTTTTTCCACAGGACCTTGACAGGTACAAAGATAAGCAGCATACCTGATAATTTGTGCCAAGAACAAAAGATGCTTAGGACTTTGTAAGTTATATCCCTCTCCCCACCTTTCTTTTATGTACTTTACAAATGTTTAGGGTTTTTTTGTTTTTTTTTAAATGAACTCTTTTGTCAAGGTTTTGAGGTATATTTCTTGTTTGTTCCTTTTGTATAAATGAGCAGGCATTTTGGTAATCAGGGAGGTAATGTGCATTTGAATTTGCTTTTGGGATTATGTATATATCATATATCTTGTGGCTTTATTTTGAACAAAGTAAAACCAAGCTAATTTCTCCCTTGATTTTTTTTTTTTTTTTTTTTTTTTTATCCCTGCCATATCCTGACTCCTTGTCCTTATTCTAGTTTCCCTATGGGTGTCCTCTCTTCATAGCTTCCTGTTTTTCATCAGTAACCTAAGCAGAGCCTAAAGCTTTCTTAAATTTGAAATGAATTGAATATGCAACTTTCTAAAAAACTTTTAAGCTGACCTTGAAAGTAAAAATAAATAAGTAATGTGAAAGTTTCACCAGGACACATGATTAGTTACCAAGTTGTTAATAAGTATTCAGTGGTAGGAGATAATAACAAGGCAAGTGACGGATTGGATTAAGCAAGTAGTTAAGTGCTGTAATGGAGTCTCAGACTTGCCATGAGCATGAGGGAGAGCTGCAGTGGGATTGAGCATTAGCTATTCTGGCATTTCATTTAATATGATTTTTTAAAAATGTGAGTAAGCATACCATTCCTCTTATAGCTTTTAAATTAAAGAACAACATAGAAATTATTTATGGGCATAAATAACTTTAGAAAAATACAAAATTTTTTAAAAACTTGCAATTTGCCACTTAAAATTTTTATGCTTGTATATTTTATGTATGTGTGTATATATATATATATATATATATATACATTTTTTTTTCCTCCCTCCCTCTCTCCAAGCTTTTGGGATTTTATTTTTACCCATGTTCTTTTAGATTTTGACAATAATGTACCTTGATATAGATTTATTTCTCACTCATAGTCCTGAACACCTGGATGCTCTTTCAATCTAAAATCTCATGCCCTTCAGTTCTGGACACTTTTCCTGTTTTGTTTTTCTTTCCCACTTCATTTTCTCCTTCCCTTGCCTATCTATTAATTAGATGCTATAACTTTTAAAATGAATTTTTTAATGTTAACTCTTTATTTTCCATTTCCTTTATTTAATTCTACTTTCTGGATGTTTCTGAGGAGGCTTTCTTTCTCTTATAATAAATCTAAGCTTCTTGAAGAAAAGATCTTTAGCCATTTCAAAGACATACATATATGTACATTGACTGTATATGCATGTATTCTGTGTTATTTGTAGAAAAACAAAATTATGATTTTTTTATTAGTTGCTCAAGACAATACAATGATCTTGACATATCATACATTTGATTCAAATAGGGTATGAATTCTCATTTTTCCATGTGTACAGATTGCAGGATCACATTAGTTATACATCCATGTGTATACATACAGCAATCCTAGTGTCAGTTGTATTCTGCTGCCCTCCCTATCCCCCCTCCTCCCCTATATGTTTTTATATAATATATTTTAACCTGTTTATATTGTCTATATTCTACAGTATATACTTGGACTTATAAATCTTAAGCCTATTGTAACTGAATTTTTCTAGAAACTTATGTCTTAGAGAACAACAGATGATTTTCTTTCTTCTTCTTTTTTTTTTTTTTTTCATTTTTCTTTTGGTACTGGGCATTTAACCCACATATACTCTACCACTGAGCTACATTCCCAGTTCTTTTTTATTTTTTTACTTTTATTTTGAGACTGGGTCTAACTAACTGCTGAGTGTCTCCCTAAGTTGTTAAAACTGGACTTGAACTTGGAATTCTTCTAAGCTACCAAGTTGCTGAGTTACATGGTGTACACCACCATGCCCAGCATAGTTTGCTTTTCTTCCTCAGTCATATTTTTTCTTTCTCCTTCCACATTTTTTATTGGTACATTATAGTTATATATAATGATGGGATTTTGTTGTTAGTCATATTGTTTTTTAGACATCTTAATGCTGCTTTAAGGACTTTTGAAAGAGTATTCTGATAATATTACATTAATTGTTTATTTCTATTGTTTTAAGGGACTTGTCTTACAATAACATAAGAGATCTCCCAAGTTTTAATGGTTGCCATGCCCTGGAAGAAATGTAAGTTGGCCTCTGACTTTTTACTGTGATGTATTCTTAGTTTGTTGAACATTTCCTATTTTAAATAAATGGTTTTAATAAGAAATTAGAAATTTATATAGTGAGGTGTTCCCATATGTAAAATGTCAAATTGTACCAGTTGCTTGCATAGAGCCAGAATTTATCAAGTATTCTATTAAGTGCTCTAGGAGGAGAGTGGTCATACTTAAAAAACAAAACAAACTCAGAAAAACTTATCCTGGCTATTGAGGGCAATTGTACATGAATACTGGTACTGTGTGTGTGTGTGTGTGTGTAAGAGAGAGTGACAGCTCTGGAGGAAGTTGGGTTGAAAGATGAGGGAGAGGAAGGCATTTATTCTCCCCTTCTAATCTTCTTCAACTTCCTGTGCAACTTGTTATGGTCTTGTCTTGGATGTTTCTCACTGTGTCATCTTCCTTCTCTCATACTTGAGTAGGCTTCCTAAGAAATTTAAATAGTGAATCAGTTTATTCAGTATAATTTGGGACAGAATGTCAATTAGTCTAACCTTTTCATTTTACAAATGAGGAAAGAGAAGTTCTCTTAACTTGAAACAAGATTAATATATATTACATATGAATGGTTCTTTAAACTTAGAAAAAGATTAACTAAGGTTATTATTTTTCAAAATAGAAATTATTTTTTTCTCTCTGTTTTAAAATTTTTTCTTTTTCTGCCTCTTCAGTTCGTTGCAACGTAATCAAATCTACCAAATAAGGGAAGGTACTTTTCAAGGCCTGGTATCCCTAAGGATTCTGTAAGTTTGTCTATGATTATTAAACACAAAATTTTTGTCAAGCTACAAGTTAATATATCATGATTTCCATGTTAATGGAATATCCCATTTTAATAGCTATATGTAAAGATATGATTTATATTACATAAATAGTATTTTTCAAACTCTACCACTTGGTACTTTATAAATATCTACTTTCAGTAGTCCTTACTCTAGCAAATTGATGATATTGTACATTAGTGAGTGAAAAAAGTACAGTGTATGTAACCTAAGCGATGTTGCTTATTTGTTTTCAAGTTATATTAGTGAGGTCTATCAATTCGTTAGGATAAGGATAGGCAAATTACAGCCTGTGTGCCAAATCCAGCCTGCCTCCCATTTAAAAAAATTTTTTTTTGTTTTTTTATAGATGGACACAATATCTTTATTTTATTTCAAACCCAGTGCCTCACACGTGCCAGGCAAGAGCCGTATCACTATGCTACAACCCCAGACCCTGCCTCCCATTTTTATACATTAAGTTTCACTGGAACTCATGCAAGCTTTTTGTTGAAGTGTTATCAAAAGCTGCTTTTGTCATGTTGTGGCAGAGCTGAGTAGTAAAAATATTTACTCTCTGGCCCTCCACAGGGCCAGACCCCAATGTTCACAGACCCCTTTGCCAGGAATTCTTTCATGATAAATAAAGCTCATAAACAGCAGAAGTACTAATTTAAGAAAATTATTTGCTTTTGAGTACATATTTGTGCCTGGCACTCTTCTAAGCCTGGTAATATAGAAGTAACTAAGACAAAACTTGTCACTAACAGCCTTTATAGAACTTCAGTGCAGAAAACCATACACTATATTACTTTGTAAAATAGAAAAAACTATGAAAAATTGAAAGTGAAGAAATTTATATATATTGTCTGTTTTCCCAGTGGATCCCATTTAAGAGATAAGAGACTAGTGGTGTAGCTCAGTGGTAGAGCTCTTGCCTAGTATGCACAAGCCCTGTGTTGCATCCCAGCACTATAGCAAAGAAACAAACAATCGAAAAGGAAAAAAAAAAGAAAGAAAGAAAGAAAGAAAAACATGAGTTCTGCTGAAAAACATTTAATTGGTGGTTGGGTTTTTTCTGGACTTTTCTTTGTTGTGGTCAGTTTTTCTGTGGGCCTGGGCAGGCATGAGAACCAGCTGGCTCCTAACTGCCATCACTTCTAGAGCACTGATAAGATAAAACAATGAAAAACTTTTTTTCACGATTTGCAATCAAATTTTTCTGTTATCCCTGAGATGTGTTATGGAATAAATTTATCCAATCTTTAAATGTCCATTCAGGCCCAATTTAAGTGTGGTTACAGATTGTTTCTTTGCTTTGTTAATTCTGTAATATCAGAATTCTTCAGGGTGTGTTCTTAAAGGTAGAGCTATCTCTGCTATTGATAATGATTTTTATTTCCTGCTTAGGGAAAGAATGATATCTGAAGCCTCCTGGAATGCTTTTGTTTGCTTATTGATTATTTGTCTTCCCTCAGGGCCTTATCACTAACCTTTGAGAAGGCAAATAATAAGGAAGCAGTTTTTATTTTCAGCTTTGTCAAGAGTTGGGCTTTTCCTTCCCTGGTTAATACTGCCAAGGATTATATCATTTCATTTCTAATTTTGAACTGGTCAAAATGATAAAGTGTCGAAAATTCACAACTGATTGGAAATAGGTGCCAGCAAGAATTACAGGTGCAACAGTGTATTCTAAGAACTAGATTGTTGTAACGGAGAGGCAGTCAACATAAACATGACAAATGGTTGAGAATCTTTGTTATCATATCAGCAATATGGTGTTAGTACCTCAGATTCTAAAGTGTGGTCTAAGTCACTAACTGGCATTTGAGTGTTTATTTGAAAAGATTAATGTGTTACTTTTATAATTTCAGAGATCTGAGTAGAAACCAGATCCATGAAATTCACAACAGAGCTTTTGCGAAGCTTGGGCCAATAACTAACCTGTAAGTAGACAAATGATTATATTCAATAATATCATGAAAACAGTAAACAGTGTTATAGAAATTTGTTTTAACATGGTCAAATGTTTTGTTGTTGTTTTCTGTTTAGTGGTTCCCTTTTCATAAATGCTAAGCTGCATTGATGCAGTAACTGTTTTTTGGATGAAAAGACACATTCTAGATCTATCATTTTAGCATCCATGAACTTCATTTTAGGAGTCTAATATTTAGGATGTTAATATAGGTACGGATGTTTTTATTTGATTGCATCTTAGGGAGTTAACTTGAACTCTTATTCACATTTTAGAGATGTAAGTTTCAATGAATTAACTTCATTCCCTACGGAAGGCCTGAATGGGCTAAATCAGCTGAAACTTGTGGGCAACTTCAAGCTGAAAGAAGCCTTAGCAGCAAAAGATTTTGTTAATCTCAGGTATGTTTTTGCTTATTTTTCTTTTTCACTGGAGTTATGGTAGGCTCCCAAATTATACATTGTCCTGGTTTTATGCTGTGGTTCCTAGATTTTTCTGGTGTGCTATAATTTAAAAGAGTTTTTTAACTCTGTTCTTGCAAAATTGGTGAAAAATAGAACATGAGCATTGTTTCGTAGTTGTTGAGAACATGACCTAAAGCTCTCATTGCTCTCAAATAGTTAGTATCAGGTAAATGTTCATCAGAACTTTTTTTTTTTTTTTCTGTAATATAATGGACTTGTCATGAGCAACAAGGTGCCAGAAGCCACTTAAGTGTGAACCTACAGAAAAATTTATACAATCCTTTAATACTTCAGAGACTTATGGGGGTCCTTTATTAAATGTAGTAGAAAAAGGAATGTTATTGTGAGATAAGAGAATAAACACTTTTACCATATTTATATGAACCAGGTAAATTCATTTCATGGTGTAAAGTTACAGGTTATCTAGGGTATTCATTTTAAGTGAAACTATCAGTTTCATAGTGAAATTTATGATAAATTTGACTGGTTAGGACCTATAAAAGAAGTCATAACACTGGGGATTGAGCCTAGGGGCCCTTTACCACAGAGTCATAACCTCAGCCCGTTTTTTTCTTTTTCTTTTTCTTTTTTTTTTCGAGGCAGGATCTTGCTAAGTTGCTGAGACTGAGACTGACTTTGAACTCAGGATCCTCTTGCCTCAGCTTCTGGAGTAGTTTGGATTATAGGCCTGTGCCATTGCACGTGGCAACAGTTTTACTTTAAATTTCAGTATTATTATGAAACTTTATATATACTTGATTTGCATCCACCTTTCTTAAGAGACACCTCATAGAAATGGAGAAACTTTGTGGTGTATCTTTATGATCATTTTTATGAGCTTTACCAGAGTGTTTAACATAGATAAGTTTCCTAGAGGATAAATGGTCAAGACTAAAGTGTATGATACTTAACACTTTTCTGACCCGTAGGTTGGGGTTTTCAAAGATTAAAATGCTTTTTACAAAACAAAATTATTCTATGAAGTTGCTACTCAGAATGTATTTTACAATTTTTTCTCCAGGTCTTTATCAGTACCATATGCTTATCAGTGCTGTGCATTTTGGGGCTGTGACTCTTATGCAAATTTAAACATAGAAGATAACAGCCTTCAAGACCATAGTGTGACAAAGGAGAAAGGCAAGTACATGAACCTTTAGAAACAGAACACTCCCTAAGGCATTAATCAAAATGTATGTGTTGTAATCAGTTTGGGAAGGATCAATATGAAGTCTGTGAGAAAAACAGCCTTTCCTGTGTTACTGGCATATTTAATGTGTTATCAAGCCACATTTGTATACACTGAACTTTAACATCATGCAGGGGAGAGAAAATTGCAGGAACATCTGGTTCTTTTGAACTGCCCATTTTTATTCAACATACTTTGTTGTATATTCAGGTACCACTGATGCAGCAAATGTCACCAGCAGTGCTGAAAATGAAGAGCACAGTCAAATAATTATCCATTGTACACCCTCAACAGGTAATGCTCAATCCATTTGGCTGTAATTTTTTACTTTAAGTAAACATTGGGCAAATATATCTAATCTTCCTGGTGATGGATGTTATTTCTATTTTACAAGGGTGGGACTAGATGATCCTGTAAGGCCTTCTGATTCATAGTGTGTTCAGTGTACCAGCATCTCTTGCAGAATCTCAGGCTCATACCACTGAATCAGAATCTGCATATTAACAAGCTCTTCCAGGTGAGGGTCATGTACATCAAGTTGGAGAAGGAATTTCTTGATGGCCCTTTAGGTCTAGAACTAGTTCTGAAATAAGTCACTGGTCCATAAAGGTTTTTTTTTGTTTTTATATTATTCTTTATTTATTGTGGTGCCAGAGATTGAACCCAGGGGCCTCCAGAATGCAAAGCTTGTGCTTTATTACTGAGCTTTGTCCCCAGCCTTATTATTATTATTATTATTATTATTTATTTATTTTATTTCATTTTATTTTTTGGTACCAGGATTGAATCCAGGGTTGCTTAACCACTGAGACACGTCACCAACCTGTTTTACTTTTTCATTTTGAGGCAGGGTCTCATTAAGTTGCTTTGGGCCTCACTAAGTTGCTGAAGCTAGTTTTGAACTTGTGATCCTCCTTCCTTAGCCTCCTGTGCCACTGGGATTATAAGCATGCACCTACAATTTATTTTTTTAAATGCAATCTTGTCTACTCTTTCTGATTTACTTCATTGAAGTTGTAGTTTTAGGAAAGTTATTAAATTATGCCAATATTTATTTGATTGTAATGTCATATTCTGCCTTGCCTACCAGAGAACTTGGGATTTATACTTTTACTATAAAGGCAAGATTTTAAATATTTTTTGTTAAATCATCTACCAAATAGATTCCTATTAGTATGATGTCATAGGCTGAACTGGCCATTAATTTTGGGGGCAGGGGGGTGACGGGGTACCAGGGACACTCGGCCACTGAGCCACATCCCCAGCCCTATTTTATATTTTATTTAGAGACAGGGTCTCACTGAGTTGCTTAGCAGCTCAGTGTTGCCGAGGCTGGCTTCGAACTCACGATCCCCCAGTCTCAGAGCCACTGGGATTGCAGGTGTGTGCCACCATGCCTGGGTTGGCCATTAATTTTATAACCTAGAATCATCAGTGCTGTGAATCACTAATGATTGATGCTGAATTGTGAGCTTCTTAAGGGCCTATGTATGTATGTATGCTTTGAATATTTAACCCATTTCCTTGTGTGGAGAACAAACTTAATTTTAACAGATGAGTAAGTGCAACTAGCAAGAATCATTTATGTAATTTATTTTATTGTGTAGATATTAATTTTTGACAGTTAGGAATGCAGTTCACTCTCTTGCCCATGAAGGATTCAAGTGTTGGAGATTGTACACAGAACTGATGATCCAGTGAGAAGGAAACATTCTTTTTTGGAGGGGGTGGTGGTACTGGGGATTGAACCCAGGGATGCTTAACCATTGAGCCACAGTCTCAACCCTTTTTTATATATTATTTATAGAGGCAGGGTCCCACTGAGTTGCTTAAGGCCTTGCTAAGTTGCTGAGGCTGGCTTTAAACCCATGATCCTCCTGCCTCAGCCTCCAGAGCCTCTGGGATTATAGGTGTGTGCCACGTCACCTGGTGGGAAACAGCATTCTTTTGCAGTACTGGACACACCTGTAATTGGATCCATTCTGGAGGCTGAGGCAGGAGGACTGCAAGTGCAGGGCCAGTGTCAGCCACTTAATGAGACCCTCGCCAATTTAGAGAGATCCTGTCTCCAAATAAAAAAATGAAAAAGGCTGGGTATATATTTTAGTGGTAGAACACCCCTGGGTTTAGTCCCTGTACTACCCTCCCGGCAAATAAAATGTGAGAAAGAACTTCCATTTTAGCACTTCCTGAGGGTTCGGAGTGAAAAGAAATTTGATTTAAAAAATTTGTGTTCATTGAAAATCAGATAAATGGTGCAGAACTGGAGTTTCACTGTATATGTCAAATTTCATGACAGTTCAGAAAGTTAAAACATATCTTTTAGGCAATTGTAATACATAGTTTTCTTGTTCTTTATAGTCAAACATTTTCACTCCTTAATTATAAATGAAATATTTTTCACTTGTGACATTACTAGCATGTCAAAGTCATATATTAGAACCAGCAATTCAGCTACTAAGTGCATTCTTGCAATCCTATACATATAGGGGTTTTATTATTATATAGGGGTTTTGTTTTGTGCCAAGCTTTGTATGAATAGTTAACATGATTATCTACCATAACCAACTTCAGCAGGTTGCTGTTGAATGCCGTAAGAAATTGGATTTAAAATGTTACAAATCTGTGTATATACATACATATACAATTATAAAATATATAGACAGCTGGGGTTATGGCTCAGTGGTAAATGGTAAAGCTTTTGCCACGTTTGAGGCACTGGGTTCGATTCTCAGCACCACATATAAACAAACAAACAAATGTTCATCAACAACTTAATACAAATATTTAAAAAAAAATACATAGGGATAAGGAAGGAAGAAAAAAAGAAAGCTAATATTTACTAAACTTCTACTATGTGCCCAGCAGCCTGCTTAAGTACTTATGTATGTAAATTTACTTAAGCTGTCAACTGTATTAAGTAGGCATTTTTATCTACATATCAGAAAATGCAACTTATTAGGCTTAAGTGGCTTTTTTAAGGTAAGAGTAGCAAGTTATGAACCATCTGATTCCAGACCCTCAATATTTTAAGTACCTTTTATGTGCTAGAGACTGTGCTTTGTATATTTGGTATAAGAAAAAGTAGAGGGCTGGGTTTGTAGCTCAGTGGTTGAGTCTTGCCTGGCATGTGTGAGGCACTGGGTTCAATCCTCAGCACCACATAAAAAATAAAGATATTGTGTCCATCTACAACTAAAAAAATATTTAAAAAAAAAAGAATAAAGAAAAAGTACAAATTTTCTTGGAAATATCTCTATATGGCCTTACCAAATAATAAAAGAAACTAATCCTGGTTATGTTTTGTTTCAGTACTGGAGATTGAACCCTGGGGAGCTTTACTACTGAGTACCCTCCCTTGAGCCCTTTTTATGTTTTTAGTTTGACACAGGATATTGCTTAGTTGATGAGGCTGGCCTTGAACTTGCCATCCTCTTGCTTCAACCTCTTGAGTCTCTGGGATTATAGGTGTGTGCCAGCTACACCCAGATATTAAGCTGCTTAATTTTTAAAATAGCCTAGTCTGTGACTGAAATATCTTAAAAGCAATATTTTTTTTCAGTTTGGTTCAATTCAATTAGGTAGCTGATTTATTCTAGATTCAACCATCATTAGTCATTCTATCAAGCATATTATATGAAATATGGTATTTTCTAAATTGTCTTTCATGTTTCTGTTTCTTTTTCATGTTAGGTGCTTTTAAGCCCTGTGAATATTTACTGGGAAGCTGGATGATACGTCTCACCGTGTGGTTCATTTTCTTGGTTGCATTGTTTTTCAACCTGCTAGTCATTTTAACAACCTTCGCATCTTGTACATCACTGCCTTCCTCCAAGTTGTTCATAGGCTTGATTTCTGTGTCTAACTTATTCATGGGAATCTATACTGGCATCTTAACTTTTCTTGATGCCGTATCCTGGGGCAGATTTGCTGAATTTGGCATTTGGTGGGAGACTGGCAGTGGCTGCAAAGCAGCTGGGTTCCTTGCAGTTTTTTCCTCAGAAAGTGCCATATTTTTATTAATGTTAGCAGCTGTTGAAAGAAGCTTATCTGCAAAAAATATCATGAAAAATGGGAAAAGCAATCATCTCAAGCAGTTCCGGATTGCGGCCCTTTTTGCTTTTCTGGGTGCTGCAGTAGCAGGCTGTTTTCCCCTTTTCCATAGAGGGGAATATTCTGCATCACCCTTGTGCTTGCCATTTCCCACAGGAGAGACACCATCATTAGGATTTACTGTGACCTTAGTGCTGTTAAACTCACTAGCATTTTTATTAATGGCCGTCATCTACACTAAACTTTACTGCAACTTGGAAAAAGAAGACCTCTCAGAAAATTCACAATCTAGCATGATTAAGCATGTTGCTTGGCTAATTTTCACCAATTGCATCTTTTTTTGCCCTGTTGCATTTTTCTCATTTGCACCATTGATTACTGCAATTTCTATCAGTCCTGAAATAATGAAGTCTGTTACTCTGATATTTTTCCCGTTGCCTGCTTGCCTAAATCCGGTCCTGTATGTTTTCTTCAATCCAAAATTTAAAGAAGACTGGAAGTTACTGAAGCGACGCATTACCAAGAAAAGTGGATCAGTTTCAGTTTCCATCAGTAGCCAAGGT